CCCCAAAACCCCAAAACCCCAAAACCCCATACTGATAAATTCGAAAAAGATAATGAGGTGGTTATGAAATTAAGTTAAGTAACTATTATCAGAAGAAATTTAGCACTGAAAGCTTATATGCTATATTGCTAATGTTTTAATAAGAGCTCTCATAATCCTTAACTAGATTCCCTTTTGCGTCTCTTTATGTAGTTATAATGTCGTTTTCATAGGCTAAGAACAAGAACTTATAATCATCCAAATCAGTTTTGCATTTACTTTGGCTTTATTCCTTTTTAAGATTTCTTTCAAATTTTTAGAATTGTTCATCTTCATCTTAACCATTTTAAAGATTTAAGCTTGACCCTAAGTTCTCAGTTTTAAGTTCTTGATTTATGGTAAGTACTTTGCAAACAATCCAAATACTAGTCATTGATTGCCTTGTTAGCTAGTTATAAACAGGCAAGTCTACTTGCAATCCTTATTCATAAACTTTGAAAATTTATGAGCCAGAGCTGTTATAGAACTTCTACTTGAGTTGCTTTATTTGCTATAAATAGATTAATTGAATAATGATCACATTTGTATTTAGTTGACTTTCTATATAGTCCATGATATCATCTATTGATTCAGCTTTTTCTTCAAGGACTGGTTGAGGATCTGCCTGCTCTTTGAGAGATGGAATAATTGAACTCAAAAGCTAAGAATAGTAGAAGTATATTTCTTTCTAGACTAAGTTAAACCATTATGGACTAGCTTCAACCTAATTATAGTTGAATCATATATGTACTTACATTTTTAGATAGGATAGAAGCATAGGCATTGTTCAATAAGGCGTAATGATAGATTTTGACTCCACTTATATTATCTAGAATGGGCTAAATCTTTATAATAGATGAACCTTAGCCTTTTTGATTTTGAATTTATTGTAGTTTGCTCTTGTTTTCTTATAGGCTTTTGTTGCCTGTGACTGAGCCACTTCTCTTTCTTTAATGACCCTAGATCTAATGCATGCTGATTGTCGCTAATCTGAATTCATTATCAATTTAGTTCAAGATGTTAGTAGACTGCTTTTAACTCGCTCTTTTTTCTTGTTGTCCTGGAGAGTCCATATTAGTTTAAAGAGTCCTTTGATTTGAGAGATACTCATTCTTTTTCAAGCCAAATGAAGTCCCTTATTTATTCATAAAATCATTTGCTTACTGAGGCATATTTGGATCCTAAAATATTTGGTTCTTTTTTTTATCTGTAAATCTTCTGCTTGACTCTAAAATTTCAATGTTACTATGACCCAAACTGGAAGACCTGGGAGCTCTAGAATCTTTTTTAGGTTCTTCTTATGCCTGGATCTTAGTATTAAATGTATTATTCTCGCTTATGTCGTTCTCGATTACTTCCAAGAAATGCTTGTCTATCATTATTTGCATAGCATTCTTAATTCGTTCAACAAAATACGGATCAAACTCTCCAGTATTATCATCCCCGAGCACATGACAAACCACACCTACGATAAGTTAACCTCTACCGACAATGGTAGCAAGCTTTTTAGTCTTATTTTGATCTCTCTTCTTCCTAGATCTTTTCTCTCTAACTTCAGCACTTTCATCTTTTCTAAATTTGATTTCTATTTCATTTAACAGTTTCTTAAGCTCTATGTCAACTTAAGTATTGGCATTAAGTGCACTTGCAGCCTTTGGGACTACATTAGGGGTAGTGGAGGCAATTGACTCTCGCTTTTCTTCCTCATCTTCGTCATCATCATCATCTGAATCATCCCTGCTTTTCTTTGCAGCCTAGGCTTTTAAGCCATCCTTACTCTCTTCATCAAGCTTCACATAATTTCCTTATTCTATAACATGATGAATATAGTCATCATCAGCTTCTAAGCTTAGATCTGCTGACAAATCATGAATATCATCTTACTCCTATATGTCCTCTTAATCTTTATCATGCCTCTAAAGGTACTTTTATTTCTTTGATAGTTTACTTCTTAGATAAAAGTAATCAATTAAAGTTTCCTCTGATGATGAATTAGATCTCTCAAACATATCATTGATATTGATTATTCTTATGAGAGGCTTAAGATACACGGCTTCTAAAGAATTAACTACTTGGAATCCTCTATAAAACATTGCACATCCTTCTATCAGAAGAGTCTAATCTTTTAAAGTCAAGAGTTCATTGATTGAAGACATGTCATCATATACAGCGTTTAAAAATTCACTTGCATCCAATAGTAGTTTCTCAGAGAGATTTAATTGAACAATTGGCTATTTATGCTACCTATCCTATGATTGCAAAACTGTGGGTAGAGCTAAAGGTGTCACCCCAAGTGGACTACCAGCAAAAGCAGAGTCACTAATCATATTCTGTAAGGCTAGTAACTAGTTTTGATAAAACAGAGTTGAAAATATTTGATTGAGTCTATTATTGATTTTTGAGAGATCGTTTGGCCTTGTATCTATCACATTAATAAATCCTGCCTTCATTAATTAGTCCAAGTACGATTTGGCTTCTACTGCAACAGCTTTAACAATACTATCTGGCACTAAAAATGGGAGGACTATTACAATGAGTAAATTTTCATCTGGAATGTTGGCAAATGATGCTTTGTAAAGACTATCACTGGATGCTTCAAGATTTGAATCGACTTTAAGAACTGGCCTTACTTTAACATTATTTATCATAGCATCCTAACTATTTTGACTGTTGCTTCCTCTTTGATTTTTTTAATCTTGCTTTTATTAAGTCATCTAAAATGAGAAAATGCTTGCTGGTTCTCCTAAGACTGCTCTAGTAATGCTCGAACATGTCAAAAATAGTCCCTTGAGCTTTTAAAATTTTGACACTCTTTAGCTTTAGGGGTACGAATACATCAACTTTAAATGTTAATTCATTCAAAATTACAACATACACATTCTTAGCCCTCATCCTTATTAGTATGAATAAGAAGAGCTGCAAATTCGAAAGACTGGAAATTCCTAGTTTTTAAAGTACCTAAGTGGTCGCTTAATTGTGCCATTTTATATGTAAAATATTTCAAATTTTGCTAATTAATTTTATAAATAATTGTTTCCCTAATATCAATTAACTCAGTATTGAGGGGTTTTGGGGTTTTGGGGTTTTGGGGG